CTAATAGATACGGTCGCGTGTCTCCCGACCGTTTCTTCGTCGGTGCATCGCACAAAGAAGGCGCATTATCTCCGAACGGAGGCAGCCGGTCTCGTCAGCTGTTTTCCTCGCGTGATAATCGGCAATTACCAATGCTGTATTATCGATTAGCGGCGATTCGATGGCGCAGATTATCTGTCAATGATTTTGAACTTGATCGTTTCGACGCCTACAAGAAATTAGAAATCGTCTCCGTTCGAAAAACAGCTCGAAGGGAAGCACGATAACAAGCACGATGGCGGATTCGCGGCGGTAGCTACATATAATTTGCATAAATAATGTCCACCGATCTATTGGCCGATAATTACTTCCCGTTTATTACTCTGAGATACGTACGCTGCTTAATTATAATTATTATCGACAACTAATTTCACTCGTAATTGTTAGGACCGCCACGATAATGTCCCGTTGCGTTATTTTACTATGGTGAATAAATGTAATTACACAGACGGAAGAACTGATATTCTCGTTATGTTGTTTCTTAGTAATGAAACAAATAGGTAAATATGATCGAACATGATTTATGGCTCTATTGATAAAATAATGATAAAGTAATAAAATCGCGCTTGCTCTAACGGAAGTTCCTATCGCGAGAAATAAAACGATACCAGCTTCCGTTAATTCATGGGTAGGGGAGCGGTATTTTATATCATAATCAGCTGTGTGGGGTGTATTAATCGTTATTGTTACTTAGATATCGCGCGCACGGAGGTGTACATCATTTTTTTGTCGATATCTAACCTATATACATAGCTTATATTCAGAACGCGATTATGACGATGTTAGCGCGTATTTAGCATATAGTGTTTATATTACATATGCTAGTAGCATTTTAGAATAACATATATATATATATAAAAACATATAAAATATAATTTAAGAAATAAAAGCATTTATCGATAAAAGCGCTGCTTTCTGAATACAGGCCACAATGTCCTGCTGGCAATTTAATTTGCTTAACTAACCACAAAATTAATCACAAACTGATTAATAATATTATAAATTTGAACAAAATAATATAAAACTCAATTCAGAGATAAATGTATGAGAGAGAGAGAGAGAGAAAAAACATAAATATATTAAAAATTAGATTAAAATTTTTTATTGATGAAAAAGAATTTTTATTTGTAGTTTGTGTTTTCTTTTATAAATAAATTACTCAATTTCTCGCATTAGTAGAAATCGCTTACAGCTAACGGAGAATTAAAGAACATAAAAAATCGATGGATAATCAATAGCTTGTAGAGCTTATACATTGTTTCACTAAGTTGAAAGAGCGATATTGCTTACATTATTGACCATTGGCTCGATGATTACAGCGATGAAGATTTACGTATTTATTCAGATAACTGCTCTTTCACAGTTTTCCACAGAAAGCGATAGAGCGATGAAAGAGAAACTGAGAAGAGGCTTCGCATTCTTTTACAATTCCGTCGGAGTGATGGATGAGTTCTTCGGAGAACTGTCGTCGATAAATCACCGATAACCGTGTTTTTTTAACAGTCTGTCTTTGTTTTCGCCGTTGCGCCGACAACGCCTCCCGTAAAATTGCGTTTGTGGCGGCGTCAGGTCCGTTGTCTCGTAAAGTGTACACTATGGACGTCATTACCACGTAATTAGCACTCTCCCCTTCTCCTGTTCCATTCCTCTGCGGCGTAATGAGTTCGAGCGTGGAAATTTGCATGTGAATCTCGCTACGGCTGCCGACATACCGCAAAACCGCATCCGCGAAGTCATTCTCCGCTCCGAGCTATGCGGGCACGAAGAGAAGACCGATCCGTTGTTCCTGCATGTGCGGACGCAATCGCGTGAATGCACCTGGCAGCAAAATTGGGTCGCGTGTCACGCCTGTCATCGCCATTCCGTAAACGTAAGAGTGAACTTCCGATTGTGTTTTCAACGTGAACGATAGAACATTGAACGTAGACTCGTTGATGTTCGAACTATGTGAAAAACGATATTAGTTATCGGTTGTTGATTGAATACGGCCTCCGGTAGAACAATTCCGGAACAGATAGCCATACGAGGAGAGACAGCCATTGTGGATTCTCCGGTAATTGCTGATACGATATGCATGAATAGTTAGTAAACATCATGGTGATTGATTGGAATTGTTTTGCGATTAGCAGTTTTACTCTAGCGGATGTTATTTTTTTACTCGGATTTTTCTCCTATCTGTTTAAAATTATTTTTCAATTAAATGAAATTAAAAGTTCGCTTCAAATCAATGACAAAATGGAAATTTATATAACTTTATGAAAAATAATCGTAAAATGATTTTCAAAGACCCCCCTAACCTTTATTTTTAAAAGCCTAAAAATTCTGCTTTCATATCTTATTAAATTTTTGTCTCGGTTAACAAAATTTGCTCAAGAAATTTTTACTTACGCGTCACTATTTCCAAATCGAGATCGCGCAAAGTTAATAAAAAATTTCAACTTTAAATTGACGCATAGAGTTGAAAAACATTGTTTTTAATTTATTTGAAACAATCTGAAAGTTTAAAGTCTCCTTTTTAAAATATTCTCTTTACGAAATTAAAATACAATTTTTTGTTGTTGAGTTATTGCGGTTTGAAATGGCCAGTATATTTCATCTTTTCATCACTAGAAATAGCGTCTCAGAAATTAACGTACTTTCTCTAAATCACAGACACTAGGAGGAATAATAACAGTTTGAATATATATCAAGGTGTAAGTGGTTACAAGACTTTTATAAGCGGCTGGACACATTAAGAGAATTCGCGATTTATGTTTCAGAGATGGAAGTGGATAAGACCATCTTACGTGCTTCAATTAATTCTAAAAGTAAAATTATATGAACAAATTTCTAATCTGATCGCATAACTTTCGTGGATAGTTCTCTCGCAAATTCAAATTATGTTCACAATACAACTCATTTTACTCGCGTATACTTGCATGCGGATCAGTCCACGTGCGTTTCGCGTGGCATCTGCAGCAGACACGTTCCCGTTGAGACAAACGCGGCACGTCGTCGCTTCTCACGTGCGCACGGCGAGAACTAATTGATCGTATCTCCGCGCGTGTTTAATAGCCAAGCTCTTTTACTGCATCGGAGTAAAGTCGGCGCGGCCGGCGGGCAAGATCATGGACGGCAATCGCGTCCTGATTTCGCTGCGGATCAATTTACCTAACAAGAGCGAGGACGCGATAAAGTTGAACCGTCGCGAGGCCGCGCGAACCCGTAATTAACGTCTCCGGTGAAACGTCTTGTAATCGCTTAATAAGCATCCGTGTGCAAATAGCGTGCGTTAATTGAGAATACACCCAGGGCGTCGTGTGGTCGGCGACTAGTGCGAAAACTATGAGGTTTCTCAGTACGACGCCCGATAATTCGCAATACTACGTCGGAAAACTCTTCGTAACCGGTTTTAACGACCGGCATTAAATGTCTACAAGTGTAAACGATAAACTTTTTCCGCGCATTTCGCGGAAAATAGTCCAATCCGCTCGTGTTAATGCGCCAGTAGTAATCAACGTTAATTACATTGTCGTCGATCTCGGAGAAATAGGAAAAGGAAAGAAAGAAAGAAAGTGAGAGAATGAGAGTGGGGAGGGGGGAGGGAGAGCAGCATATAGAGAAAAGGCAAATCGAGTGGCATTGATTTACGCTTGATTACATTTCCCGCGAGATCTCTGGCGCGCAGTTCTGCATAAGTGAATGCGCTTTGACGAGACGCCGCTCACGCTCGCTTACTTTCGATTATTTCTGCGCCGTCATGAATGAGACGTCCGGTATTCGCGCCGGCTACTCGCGGTAGTAACGCTATTTAAAATGCCGACGTGAGATACATATTATTCGACGTGTTACTCATGAAGGTAGAAAGTGCTCGGTCGTCCGCGTGATGTACCGCGATGCATATATGTTCAAGAAGAGGTGAATATGCGTGCAATTCGCCGTTCACCTTCGCTGGTCTCTGACAGAAGGTGACGAGGGTTAAAAGGTGGAATTAGAGGGAGCCTCTCAACGGAAGGTCGAGCTCGCGGGCTAGCACAATCCGATGTTCGTTTCTGCATGCGTGCACGTGCGGTATACGCACGTGCGTGATGTACGTGCTCGCCATCGGGCCACCGATGAGCACGTTTCCATCGCGATTAATCGATAAACGCGCTTCGTTTCGGTAGCGAACGCGCGCTTCGATCGATCTTTGTATCTCGTAAAGCGGATATTAATCGTAGAGACGTATTTAATGGTTTGATGAAGCATACCGGCATTATTCATCATAGAGAGATGTGTTTTTATTTCTACACAATTCAGCATGACGTGCACGTTTGTTTAACAGAAGAAATTGAACGTCGAATGCTACTACTCGAATGCTAATACGCTAAAGTTATATAATTAATTATTTAACGTTTTAATATTTAATACTTATTAGTTACGTGAATATTAATATATGTATTTACCCATCAAGTGTCAAGCATTATGATATTCTATGTATATGTAACACTTATCAAAGTTAATTAATATAATTAATTATTTTATATTTCAATATGTAATGCTTATTTCTGAATATTAATTAAGGTTCTAATGCGTCGTATGCATCGTAATATTCGTAATGCAAGTGAAAATCAAGATTCATTGCTAAGATATTTGTTTGAGGAGAGAGAAGGAAATAAATAATTATAATATTCTTGAATTTATGATGAAAAGATTTTATTCAATTACAAAAGGATCTTATGAATTCAATTATAGATCTGTCAGTTGGTTTCCAATTCTTCATAGAGTAGTTATTCGATCTTATTTGGGGATGAACCAATCTCGATGAATCACATTGAGACTCGTTCAGCTGTCAATTTTGTATGGTCGACCCTACACTATTGGATCCAATTATCAATTTTTGCTGGTATTCGATTCAGCTGTCAAATTGAAATGCAAATGGCTAAAGGATATCCTTGTAGTTGCGAATGAGGTAATAACAAGATCCTTCGTTCTGGTTTCAGGTACCAAAAAGCGAGTCGACGAAGTAGCATCACCAAGGACTATCCACGACTTGCCGGAACACGTTCTCACATGTGGCCTGTCACTTCCCGGTAAGTATTTAAAAAATAAAATTTTTTCTGAGAAAAGATTATACAATGATGATAATTTTTATCGTAATTATCTGTTATGACAAAAGATATTGGATTTGTATTATAGATCGACGAAACTCGGAATTTAAAAAACGAAAAAAATTGAAACTATGATTTTCAACATTTTTACGATCGTATATTTCTTAAATTATTGCCAAATGTCTATTTAGAATCTATATATTCCAGATTATTTAAAGAGAAGATGAAATAAGATTGTAGGTTTCCAAATTTAAACACTTCGCGATAGTCGATTGCGCTTTTGTTGTAAGCCTTTGTCTCGCGTTGAGGTGCTCCACATATAGTAGAAGCAACGGCAGAAACGTGAACTTACGCTACACACGCGACTCCACGTTGCTTCTCGCGTCGCGTTGCGGAAGATAACAACACGCGGTGACCGCGGAGGAGTATGCGGAAGCTGGGACACACCCATCCACCACGTAGGGCTCCTAAGCTTGGTTCACACGCCCCCGCATCTTCTGCTCGTTCTGTGCATCTATTTACGTACTTCGTCGAGTACCGGCAGATACTTCCCCGGCAAGCCGTTTCTCTCCCTTCTACCGTGATTCTGCCTTGTCGAGTGCGCCATTCTCTCGGCCGTTCTCCTTGCTCTTCGTCCCGTATTGTCCCTTTCTCTCCCTTTCCGTGAGGCTCAGCTGGTCGGATCTGCAGATATCTAACTGTATTCCCATAGTTGGCGCAGTTGTTGCTCTCTGTCGTCGATTAGCGCACGGCGGGAAGAGGTAGTCGCTGGACGATAGCTGAAAGGAGCCTGACCAAAGATTAACCCGCTAGTGTTCGCATCACGAAACACGCTTTGCCTTAAATTACCATAGAGAGTATATAACGATCAAGTATTTAAATAAGCATATACATGTATTTCATGTTCATTTCTACCAATGTAGATTAACTTTAATCTTGATTTATCTTATTTTTTTCTAGTTTTGAAAATTATAAAAAGATAAAAAAGTAAATTAATCTAAGATTAAAGTTAATCTACATCGATAGAAATAGGCCTCAATGAACTCATGTCGGATAAAAATAATATTATACCAAATATTTTTTTGCAGTATATGAGAGCTCATCATAAATAAATGAATAAATTTATAGAACATAAAATTTATTTATTTATAAGGGCATAAAAGAAAGTCTTGAATGCAGGTATCAATTGAGAGATATAATCATTACAATCGAACGAATATTACCCGAGCATTCGATTTTCTTGGTACAGTAAATGCGATTATTGTGATGGTTATCGCGTTATCTCGTGATAATAAACTGGAAGTGATATTAATCTACTAAGATCGATTAAAAGCAATATGTGATATCTTTATGATATGAAATGGAGAAATCACTTCATCGAACTTTGCTTTAGATCGAGTAAAGTCTCTATTTTTTCGGCGTGTCTAATATCGACATCGTTCGCGTAACCAGTCCCTCCTTCAAAGCGGCGTCCTGCAACGGTAATCGGGTGAAAGGGAAAAGCGCACTCGGCCGCTTTAATTGCAACCGAGTGTGGGATATACGCGACTCTTTTGTGTCTCGATTAAGGAGGGACCCCTTGCAACAACATTAACGTTAACTATCCACTTACTTGAACATGAGTTACACGCTCAGTTCGCACGCCTTCGTGTTTCTCGCGCGTCCATCCATTTATATCCTCTTCTCGTAAAAGGGCCAATGGTCCCTTCCGCCTCTCTCCGTCTCAATGAATGCTCTTCTCTGTTTCTCTATGTCTCACACACGTACTGTTTCGTATATCGCCATGCACTCCTCTTCCCGCTACCTTTTCTTACCTCCTGGTATCACCTCAGTGCTTCATGCTCCCTTCGCGTGCCTTGTATTCTCCCTCCGCTCCTTTCTTCCGCCCGTCTTCGTGGTTCGCTCAACTGGCCGGATCCACGTATGTCTAACTGTATCCCGTAGTTGGCAAAGCTGCCGCTTTGTCGCCGATTAGCTGACTGGTACGCGGGCAGGCAGAAACGATGGGCGACGATCTAATGGGCTCCGGCGTGCTTCGAACGGGAGAAATCAACGGTAAGAAACACGTCGTGCCATCAGTTGTTAATTTTAATTACAGTAAAACGCACGCGGCGCTTCTTACGGGACTCGGTACGATCGCGCGAGACCCTTAGAGGTGAATTGCCCTTTCACAGCTAGGTAAAAGCGAACTTACACAGTTTACATTAAATGATCGTCTTCAACGACTCATGAAAAGCGAATGAACAATTAAGTTTTTTTCTAAGGGAATAATTAGAGAAGGACTATATTAGTGTAATATAATTCAATGTAATCTTTTAAAAAATCCAGTTAAATGTGTAATACTAATTATAAATCACTCAATGTGCTCTTTTTACACTTTTGGTTGATAATCATATCTATTATTAATCTTTATAGGATGGGAAAGCCATCATATCTCATATCAAAGTAATATCACATAGTAGCATTATTGAAACAATGTCATATTTTGAGACAAGGAATATATACAAGGAGATAATGAATTATAATAAATTTTAATTAGGAAAAACTAAGATTTTAAAAATAGACATCCTCTTTAAAGGTAAATAATAGAGCAAAGAAGAGAATTTCTTTTTTTTCTATTTTTTTTTAATTATTTACGTTGTCTATTTTTCGTTTGCTGCAGATGCTTTGTCAAACTAAACCGCGGATTCACCTTCAAGTAGATCCTCGCGGAAGTATTTTCTGACTGTTCTTCGGCTCGACCCACGTATCTTCGTACTTCACATTCCCGCACCTATTTATACTGCCTTTCTTTTCCAAAGATAGTTCCTCGCGTGTCTCGTTAGGCTCCTCTCGTTTCTCTTTCTCCATCCATCGATTCCGCCTTCAGTGCTCGACGCTTGCGGTGCTCTCCTCCGTCTAGTCGTGCTCACTTCCTTCATTCCACCACCTTGATTGCAACAAAGCGCAACGTTGTTTCGGTTTCGTGGGATCCCGTTGGAGTTGCCCGCGGGGCTCAGTTTCCGACTTGTCTCGAGCAATCTCCGCGAGATTTTCCGACCGTCTCACGTCGCTCCGATCTTCTACACTTTAATGTTTACATGTGCACGTTGCATGTACCATTCCTCCTGTGATACCAATGCGGTACGCGATGAGAACGTAGGAATTTACGAGAAAGTCTACTGTTGACAATCTGCCAGGCGGAAGCGCACTCTGTCCGTTCAAGAAATCTAACCGCTATCTTTTAGATAATCACCTATTGTGCAAAATCGCACAGGATGCAAGGACTTTATATGCATAACGTACTTATTCTACTCACTCTTGAAATAACAGTGCATGCATGGGCATGATGATCGTCAATTGCTCGGCTAAATAAGAAGAACACTAACAAAATTATCTTTCAGCTTGTTAAAAGTACAGTTGTATTTTTTACATATTTATAATGTAAATGGTGTTATTTTTACCTTAATGATAGCTGCGCTTCTTCGCTTTGGTGAGCAATACTATTAACATTTTTTACCGTCACAGATGTCTGGTTTATAAAAAAATAAAAGGATTTGTAACATTTTACGGATAATGAGTAGAGTATTATTCAATCATTATTGCTTTCATGTTGTGAGAAATATTTGATTTATTTCGACACGAGCACGGGATCGTATAAACTGTGTAAAAATATGTATTGAAAGTTAAACACAAATAGCTAATCCGCTTCCCTAGCCATCGTCTAATGTTACAAGTCTCGTGGTGTACGAAGTGGGTCTCTCAGTACGTCATCCGAACATGCTTCTGCTTCCTCGTCATTGATTCTTCGCGTTCTTCAAGCAACGGCAGCTCAAGACTCCCTTGTTATATCCTCTCCTTTCTCCCTAGTCGTTTCCTTTCCTCTTCCCACGGATTCCCTGCTGGAGAGATCACCGGGTGCCTAACTGTAATCCCGTAGTTGGCGAAGCTGCCGCTTTGTCGCCGATTAGCTGGTCGAAGCTTGTGCCTAGCCGAGCCGCGGTCGCTTTAAAAGAGGTGGGACGGAGCAGGAAGAGGAAGCGCAGGAGATCGCCGCGTCGTGCCGCGTTTACGCCCGCCGGGCAAAGAGGTGCAAGTACGACAAACGACCGCGGCCGAAGTTCAAGCGGGTGCTTCGAGAGAGTCGGATTGGAGGGCATTAACGAGCCCGCGTGTACGGTGACGGTCTTTGCGACCGTCACGTATTTTCTTACTGCTTTTTTTGCAGCTTCTATAGACGGAAAATCTGTGGAAGCGACTCGTGCACGATTGAAATTTTGCTATCTAGTTCTTGCTTGATTAAATCTAGTCGACTTATAAGAAGGTTTGATCAATTAGCAAACTCGTTCCACGTCCATTGACTCAATTTGTCGACTCAATTAGGCATATCCGCATAAATTATCGAAAAAACGTTGCCACGTCAAGAGAAATCGTCTCGACTCGATTTGTGCCAGGAATCGTAGATTTATAAGGTAGCTCTCCGCGTGGCGCGTACACGGTCGCAGCAGGTGAGCAGAACGTGTAATAGAATCCTCGAGAGCAGCGGTTTGAAATTATACAGGGTGCTTCATGAAGTTTCCATTGAACTTATCGATTTTTCGATATACTTAAAGTGAGATTTTCTTGTATAAAAATTCAAAACTTAATTCGGAAGATTTAACGTTCAAAGAGAGAGAAAGAGAGAGATTAGAGCGAATGTAATTTTAGGAACGCAGCTAATTGATTAGCGTAGTTAATTACAGATTTGGGTAACATCCTGCAAAGTTTAATTACATAAATATTTAATATTATAAAGAAAAATATAGCATTCTATCAAATGTTTCTTAAATATTAATTTTGATATAAAGTTTATGAAGCACTCTGTACTTTGTGCTCTGAGGAGCGTGATATATCAGCGTGATAGCAGCTGAATATCCTCGTTAAATTAGACGAAGAACGAACGATGACGAGGTCGAGCAGCGGTGTAAATTGTGACACCCTGTACGTATTTACACGTGGTGTGA